CCACTCGCCCCCTCCTCTCCCCCATTCGCCAGCTCCTCCCCACTACCGCCGTCTTCGTTTCCAATTCCTCGATCCCACAACCCTACCCTCCACCATGGCTCCACCCTCGCTCCACGTCGACCTGGACGCCGCCAAGGAGACCTTTGCCTCCGCCCCGTCGGCCCTCAAGCTCCCGACCTCCTTCGACGATTCGAACACGCTCCACATCGGCATCATCGGCTGCGGCCGCATTGGCCAGCTGCACGCCGCCAACATAGCCAAAAAGATCCCTGGCTGCGCCCTGATCTGCGTGTCGGACGTCTTCGAGTCGGCCGCGATCAAGGTCGCGCAGACGTACAAAGTCCCCATGGCCTGCAAGGATGCGAAGGATCTCATCGCCAACCCCGCCGTGCAGGCCGTCATCGTGTGCTCGCCGACGGACACGCACGCTGATATCATCCGCCAGGCCGCGACCGCGGGCAAGCACGTCTTCTGTGAGAAACCCGTGGACAAGCACCTGGAGGTCATCGATGAGCTGGCCGTCGTCATTAAGGAGGCGGGCGTCAAGTTCTTCCTAGGCTTCCAGCGCCGCTTCGACAAGCACTTCCTGCGCGCCAAGGAGGCGAGGGAGTCCGGCTATCTCGGCAAGCCCCTCAAGTTGCATCTTGTCGCGAGGGACCCCTCCCCGCCCCCGATCGGCTATCTCAAGCAGTCGGGTGGCATCTTCTCCGACATGTCCTCGCACGACTTTGACATGGCACGCTTCCTCACGGGCTCGGACATTACGGAGATCACCGCCATCGGCATGGCCGACGATCCGGAGATCGCCGCCATTGGCGACTACGATCACACCATTCTCAACCTGCGCTTTGCCAACGGCTGCATTGGCGTGATCGATAACTCCCGCTCGTCCCCCATGGGCTACGATCAGCGCGCGTCGTTTCTGGGCAGCGAGGGCAGTGTACAGGTGGACAACGTCTTCCCAAATACCTGCGACACCAGCGACAAGGGTGGGTGCCACACGGATGCTCCGCTCAACTTCTTTATGGAAAGATATGCCGACGCTTATCTGCAGGAGATGATTGCGTTTGTTGACGTTTGCGTCAATGACAAGCCCGCCCCATGTGGCGTGGCGGACGGCAGGTTAACAGTGATTTATGCCGAGGCGGCGAGGAAGAGTCTCAAGGAGAAGAGGACGGTTACGATAGCCGAAGTTGACAAGGCCTCAGCTTCAGGAACGGAGGCCAAGGCTCGCTACTAGGCGTTTGCTGGAGCGCGAGGGGTGGGATCTGAGCGGGAGGGTGAAATGGTAGAATTTGGATTGTAAAGCCTGGCAGTACATGTATGGCGAAAGTGAATGGTTATTATAAAACCGGAAGCCGTGTTGGCTGTGCGACGTCATGCTGGGAAGTCTAATTCAATTGGGGGAGAAATGACGCAAAACGGCCTCAAAGTAAAAGTCAACCTGCATCCCATGGGCACATGCTCAGTCTATGAGGTGAGAGGTAATGCGAGTTGCACATGCGTTGCACACAGTCCCCCTCCGACAGCAGAGTAGAATGCGGGCAACAACGGCGGCACAGATATCGTGTGGCTATGCGTGTGTTCCTCGGTGAAGGGCGGATTGGTCGCAAGAGGAGACCTGAATATCTGGCACCGGTGCCGGGCGATGAATACAGCCAATTGCGAGTAGGGCGTGTCCTAACGAGGAGATGTCGCAGGCCGACGCAAGGTGCCACGCGCGATACAGTATATCGACCGCATGCCGAGAGAGGGCGTGCAAGTCGCGTCACGGCTGGGGGAAGGCAGAGTTGGACGGTCGTGGTACGTGCGGGTGCTGGTGCTGCTGGTGCGGTGAGGGTGAGAGGACAGCCGTTTTGGAGTTGCCCTCTGCCGTCTGGTGGGGGAAGGGTACTACATGTACAGTGTTACGTACTACAGGGGGGGGTCGCTCAATAGTGCCTACTTTAATAGTGCTTCCCTCTATATAGTGCTATGGCTCACCCTCTGGCACAGGTTATCATAAGCTCACACGTGTATCATCCGGCATGGTTCAGTACTCAAAGGATGAAGTTATTTAGTTGTGTTCTACAGGCTTTGTTGTGTTTGTGTTAGCAATGTGCTTTGTCCCCAAATATATGTATTTGAGCCTCCTTTATATAGTGCCATCCCTCCAATAGTGCCATAGCTAGAGGTATGTCACGCTATAGCACTATATCGTAGGAGGCACTGTACCCAAGGGTACAGTATTACGTACTTTGGGGACATGTTTTGGGGACATACTTTGGGGACATATTTTGCTTTTTGATTTTGCAGACGTCTGCTCTGCACACGAAGCGTGCAGTCGGAGCCAACGCGTCCCGCTGTCCACGTGTCCCCGTCGTCCAGCGATACAGCACGCGTACACGTCGGCCTGTTTTCAATTTCAAAATATTCTCGGGACGACCTTTCGCGGCACCACCGCGCCCTTCGCTTGCGTCATGCGGCGTGCCCAGCATCGCCCCTCTCCCGCCCGGCCTGCTACGTACGTTCGCCGCCATGTCGTCGTGGCTTCCGCCGCTCACGCCGCCGCTCCTGTGCGGGCACTACCTGCCGGAGGGGGCCGTGGACACCAGCGTGGACGCCGCGCTCGTGGCCGACCTGGAACTGGCGCTGGAGAAGCGCCGCGCCGACGTGCGCGCCTTCGCGGCCCCGCCCGTCATGGGGCACGCGGCCGCCCCGCTGCAGGCCGGCGCCGCGTTCGCCGGCGCCGCCGACGGCGAGGACGACGAATTGGGTGCCGCCGACGAGGACCAGATCGCCAGCGATGAGTTCAGCGAGGGCGCAGAGCCCTTCGAGGACGACGGCGAGGACGAGGGAGAGGAGGAAGACGACGAGGACGACGAGGAGGACGAGGAGGACGAGGAGGACGACGATGAGGATCTGGCGGCGTATTTGTGAGCATGTGGGCGGAGGGTCTCGGAAACGGCCGCGCCAGCTCCGTAGCAGCGCCACTTGCCCGTTTTCGATAGGGCAACATGCGCCAGCTCGACACGAGGACAAGTGTCACTGAGGCTCCGCGGCGGGAGCTCAAGGTGAGATTTTCCTCATTTCTATCCACACAGCCTGTGCAAACGTGCAAACCCCATTCCCGCGTCAACCTCCTCCGTCACCACCGCCATCCTCACACACCATGGCCGCCCCAGCGCTCACCGCCGCCTCCTCGCTCGCAGTGCTCGCCATTGGTGGCGCCGCAAACCTCGCCGCTTCCAACAAGCCGCTGCAGTCGCGCATGTGGCTCCCGCGCGGTGGCTTCATCGGCGTCGTCAACGGCGGCGGCCCGCCCGCAGCCGCGCCGCCCGCCGCGTCGCCCGCCGCCAACCAGACCCCGGCCCCCACCGCATCGGGCAAGAAGATTCACCCCATTGGCGGACAAACCGGCAAGCCCGCCCCGCCGTGCCCGTTCGGCAAGTTTCCTAGGTATAGGCCCACCAAGCTCCCCGGGCCCCCAAAGTCTTTCGACCCCGCCAAAGGGCCGTGAGGCAGTCACTTCCGGGGGACGTCGCCATCTGCGCCGCAGTCTTGACGGGAGCATGCACATCTGCGCTGCCTTCTGGATAGCTTCGTCTCACTTTTTGTAGTAGACCTTGGTAAAGCTCCAGGCCCTACAACGCTAGTCACCTTGCGCTCACGCCCACTATTTTCCGCTCAGCCTTACCCGCGACTAATGCATTCCCCGATTTTGGCAATGGAAATGCATATCTGGCATTGTTTGTGGTCCTAGCGCTTCTATTCCCACGAATTGTGTACGGCTCTCACCTTAGGGCAAGGGTTGGGCAGAAGCACGTCTGAAAACATTTAGTGTGCGTCTCGCATTGATTTTCAGAAGAGAATCCGGTGCAAGTTTTAATACCACGGCTGACGTAAACAGGTCTTACAGTTTTAACGGATCCCTCCCTTCGTCTCAGGCTTGAGGAACAGACGCGCCGCAGTTCAAGATTTGCACGGAGACCCGTTTTTCGGGCGTGCCATCGCTTCAGGCCCGACCGTTGTTAGTGAGACAAATATCAGATTGCAGACAGTCTTCGCACCTTGCCTTCTTACAAATATCAAAAGGAGATACTTTATTCTTCGCCAAACCTATCTTTGCAGCTTTTGTTTGTACCCCTACTGTCATATCGCACCTGTGCAAATCCGCTTTAAATATCCATATGGGACAAATCATGCCTGCCTGGCCAGCACCGACGCGTCGCCCTTGTATAAAAATCTGTGCACTTATGAGGCAAGCTCCCCATACCACTCTCTCCGACAGGTTCCGTTGATATCACGTGGCCTCATCTATCGGAAGAGTGGCCTCATCTATCGGAAGAAAAAAACGTATTCTCAAGGCAACATGTCCTTCGGAAAATTCTTCATCGCATTCCTTTTCTGGGTCGCAGTAGGATGTCCTCGATACGAACAAACCCTGTCCGTGTCAGCCAGGGTCGACAAAGGCACAGCTCCCGGATCACCTGGATCCACGACTGTATAGTGTCCTCCTCCCCAATAGGTCGGTTTCACATACTCGTCCCAATTCCAACTCCTTAGTTCCTCGGCGGTCGATGGAGGTAGCTTGATGCCGTCTATAGCCTGTAGAGTCTTGCTGTAGCACGAAGTCTCCCTTGATACACCAATAATCATGACTGCTTTCGTCGCGAGTACTCGGCGCATGATTTTGAATTCCTTGGCAAACGCGCCGTTCTGTTCGACGTCCGTTTCGTAGACGCCGAGCATGAGATACTTTGCCTTTTCCCCGAGAAGCAGATGGGCTGCAGACAGTGTGAATATGAGCATCAAGGTGTGCCACTCCAGGACCTCCTTCACCAGTCTCTGATGCACTCGTACATCTTCAGCTAAATAGGTGACGTATGCGGAGGTAGTTCCACCAATATAGAGAAGAACGACACTGAGAAAGACCAAGAGAAAGCCACCAGACAACTTTTCGTACAACTTGCCGTCGATAATAACCAATTTTCTGCTGACGGGTCTGAGCATTGCTCTTGCCTCCGGGTCAACGTCTCCATCTCTGTTGATGACTCTGTTCGTCATGCTGTACCGCCGCAGGGTATTAAAACACCTGAGACCGAAAAAGAGCAACACAATTGGGAATATGACAACGGCCGCGGCATCTACAACGATGGTATCACTCTCACCAAAGAAAGTGTAGTTTTCCGCGACGATTGTAGTTGTACTCCAAATAGAAACGGCGCTGTATCCTAGTGCAGTGATCAGGCCAAGAATGGCAAGGGCTCTGCCTGTGTACCTCACGCGGTCTTGTAAGTTTCTCTTGCGTTTTGCAGTGGCGTTATTTGTCGCCATAGCGCGGACAGAAGTGAACGATTGCTGCTGCTTGCAATATTGCGTCAGAGAGGACGACGCGAGAAGAAAGTTTGAGAAGGTAGAAAGAGAGAACGCCTGGGAAAGAAGTGCGCTCTATTTGTAAGTTCGCAGGCAGCTCTGGAGGGGGCGCTATCCTCTTAGGGATGAGCGTCTAAAGAACCTGTCTACCAGTGCCCTAAAATATAGGGCAAGTTTGTCATGCAACAACGTTATGAGGACCTGGTGAGAGTCTTTCAGGCCCGATCTGATCTTTGATTCGCTCATCCCAAGAATAATTGGGCAGGAATCATTCTGCTGTTTGCCAGGGTACTTGTAGGCGCGCAGACAAAGAAATGTTGATGCGTGTAATAAAACCCCCCCCCCCCCCCCCCATGCGGCTATGCTGCTGTGGGCGCGAGTAGCGAGTCACGACATATGGAACACCTGAACGACACATATTTCGTACATATTTTGTAAAGAATCCCAGCAATGCGCCGTCTTCCAAAACACTGCAGAACAGAGAATGTGAGTGGACCTGAAATAGAAATTGACAAACATCTCACACGAAAATGTCATGGCAGCCACGTGTAACGAAAGCCGAGAAGAGATTCCATCCGACACGGCAGTCTCTACTTGTCGGCTGCAACCATGATCATGATGGCCTCGAAAGAAGCAAACTGCCGGTCGTGCACCATGCGGCATGATGCCGCATGGCGCACAACTGGAAGATGGCGCCTGTCATTTCAGGCACGAAAAGCAAATGCTCTTTGAGTTTTTAGTGGGAGCGGCGCATGCTTTCGTCGTGAGACGATAATCGACCCAAAGCGCCCCAAGGTACAAGTACCGTACCTCTTGGGCCCGGACGCAGCCCAACAAGTCCGTCGTTAAAACATATCCGATTCCGCACAGCGCACATGCGCAGCGTTGCAGAGCTTGCAACACAGTAGTGTACAATGCCGGAGTTCCAGGCCTCACTTTGCTTTTCTGCATCCACTTTGCTTTTCTGTGGCATGCGTGATTGTTGCAGAGGCGATCCTAACGAGAAACGCCTGTACACGTCTGGCACCAGACGTATACATAATAATTCCAATATCAGAGCGTGTGCCAGCACACGCTCTGATGACAAACGTCGAAGAACAGAATACGGGGGGGGACGCCTAATAGTGCCGCTTTCATTATTGCCACCCTCGAATTAGTGCCGCCAAAACCGGCAGACACAGGTTCTGCCACGTGTCATGCACGACGTCGTCATCGCCCACTCATGCGCCTCAGCTCAATTGGTGATGGCACCTCACTCAAAGACCCTAACAGGAATCCTGAAAAGATCGCCAAAGCGAAGCGTACGCGCCTTACGATTGCACAGAAAATCGAGGTTGGGCATCTGCTGCAGGTCGGGAATGCGAATACCACAGTTATGCGTCAGTTCAAAATTTCAGAGCGAACCATCCGAAACATCAAACGCTCTCTTCCTTCACTCCAACAAATTGTGACCAACACCGCTACAACGCTCCGCACAAAAACTTTAGAGGAATGGATTGAGATCGAGACTAATGAGGTCGTGGCAGAAGCTTCTATTAGTGATGCTTGCGATTCAATACATTATGGTGGAGAGCTACAGAATCAGTCTGCCAGTGATGCTATGATGGATGATTGTGTGGCAAAAGGCGAGTGTGAAATTACGGAGAGGCGGGCCGTACCGAGTGCTGTAGTGTTAGCAAGGTTGTTTGGGTCTTTGGAGAGTCTGGGTGTGGAGTGCGATGTGAGCAATGCCTTATCGCACTTGAGGTCCGCAAAACGAGCTTTTCTAGTGTCTAGGTGACAAATGACCTCATATGAGGTCACTTTTCAACTTATTTTTTCTCTAATTGCGCTAGCTCAACAAGATGGAAAAAGATACTCTCGCCACCGCAGTTGACTTCTGCGTTGCGGAAGGGCTGAGTTTGGTGAGATCTGCATGTCTTTTCCAGCCATTTTTAAAATGCCCGAAAAAGGAGCCTTTTTGACCAACCTCAAAACGTTTTATGTTGATTTCTTCGAAACCAAAACGCCTGTTTAAAAAGCCAACTCATCATTGAAACTTCATTAGATTATTAGTCTCTCTGTGCATTGGAAACTGCCATCCCAATGTTTTGCAAGATGTTAATGCCGAGGGCAAATACGTTAAAGAAATGGTGTCCAAACTGACTTTTTAAAGTTTCGATTTAATTTATATATATTTTTGCAAAAAAAACTGGCCTCATATGGGGCTTGTACAAGCCCCTCATATGAGGCTATGACTGACCTCATATGAGGTCAAATCGCTTGTCGTCTAGACACTAGAAGCTAGTGTCTATTGGACGGACGTTTTGATCATGAGGATTTTTCCTGTCTGTCAGAGCATTAGAAAGACCGTCCTAAATACCGTGCATTCTAGGTGCCTTCAAGGGACTTGGACATTGTTTTTTACTCTTACTGTTACTGTTTCGCGGTAACTATGGCTTTCAGTTCTCCTTCTTTGCGCCAGAAACGGCGCGGGCAAAAAAGCCTCATATGAGGCGAAATCCTCAAATGAGGCGCATTGTCCAATAGACACTAGGCATGAGAGACAGGGTCAAAGGCAACAACAGCAGACTCTAATAACAGAGTTCTGGCCGGGTAGTGATCCTGCTTTCTGATTGTGCCGCTCCGAATTAGTGCCGCATTATTAGTCCTTACACAGGGCGGCACTAATGCGTAGGGTCAACTGTACTGCACTTCACACCTTTCAGCCCTTGGTGCACAAAAATGGGGATTTGTGTGCACACAATTTGTGTATCTGCGGTTTCAGGAGGCGTCCAATAACGTACAGGACATGGAAGGCGAAGGGACTTAGGCGGTGTACTAGTCTAGGTCTCGAAATCTCGTACACTAAGATTGCCCGTTAAGAGCATCACCACCGGTAGGTGATCAAATGACCAAACAAGAACACTTGGCACTTTTTTTCTAGAACTCAATTGGCTGGTGGGAATTTGGTGATTTGCTTCTTTGGTTATTTGATATTTCAAAAAGGACGGCCCCACCGGTCAGAACCAAATACTGTGTAGTACGCTCTTACTGACCCTCGTACTCACCCGTGTCCCCTCCTACGAGGAGTCGCAGTGACGGACTCTGAAGACGTTAACGGAACCGAAGCTGAACGTGTTGGGGTTCCATAGATGGGAGGATCCAGGGAAGAGGGGGGTAGCGAGCCTGAAAAGGGGGAACTCATTTTGTCATCACCGAGCTTGCGCTTGATGACCAACAGGAGGGATGCTCTCAGAGATGCCTTCACCGACCAGTGCGGCGCATCCCTACCGGAAAACAATAAAGTCCGTGCTGGTCTTGTGGCATTTGAAGAGGAGAGATGGCGGGAGACTGCCGCTTGTTTTGCCACAAAACCCCTTCGTCATGTTTTTTGGAGGGAAGTCTTTTTGTCTGACCAGTGAGCCTTGGACAACTGGATTGTCTAGGGTACCAAATTACGGAGAAGCGGAACCTAATTCTTGATATTTGGTTCCGATATTTGCCTCGGAACCAAAAATTTGCTGATTTGGTCGGACCGGTGGGGATGACAATCGACATCAAATCATCAAATTTTGGTTATTTTGGTTATTTGCTTCTACCGGTGGTGATGCTCTAAGTGACGAAAACGCGTGTTTTGGCTGCGTGTTTGCTCGGATTTTCTAAACGCAAAATTTTCAGACAACGCGTTTGGCATAACTCACAGCATACCGAGAAAAAAACAAAGCGTCAGTTTACGGGCAACCTTAGTGAATGTAAATGTTTACACAAAAATGGGGATTTGTGTGGTGGTTTCAGAACACAAAATTTGTGAAGTAATCGTCCAGAACAACAAAGCACCTGGTCTATACTGTATGCATATCACCATGCGTATAAAGTTTATACGCATGGTGTTTACACTATAAACGGTTACTTATAATTAAATTGGAGGCCAAATACAGTTAAACATCCCATTCATTCTTTGCATCCTGACTCACCAAAGCTCACCCTCACGTTACCAACCTAACTCTTTCCTTGTTGCCACTCTCCAAGCGACAAACCTCAACCCCATCCTCCGCATAATCTCCCTCGCTCACATACCATCTCGACGCTACACTCTCCCTGCCACAGTACGTCGTCCCGAACACATCGCACACATACTCATCATCCTTGAATTGGCACGCCCTCCTGCTACACAGCCTGATCCCATCGCCCTCCTCTCTCAAAAAGTCGAGACAAGTAGACGCCTGCTGCACGGCGCTCCTCAAAGAGCATCTGCAGTTGGTAGCAGTATACGGCTGCGCGTCTGCCCCGTCATGGACGAGCTGCCGCACGTCCGGCGCGGGGAACGGCACGACGTTGAGCACGAGGTTCTGCATCACCGTCGTCGACACCGACGTGCAGTACATCCGCCCGCCGCCCGCCACGCCCTCCGACACAAACGTCGTGAACGTCACCTCCTCCCGGCTGCAGTGCTCCGCCCCGTCACACCGGCACTCGTACGTCGCCTCGCAGTCCCGGATCTCGCACAGCTTGCGCCCCGTCCCCACCTCCGTCCCGACCACGTCCATGCACGCAAGCGACCCCGCCTCGGCCGCGGCCAGCGTGCACGCGCAGTACGAGTCGCTGAACAAGCACTCCCCAGAGTCTGCCTGACGCACCGTTTTGCCTCGCATCGGAAATCTCGCCGTGTCGGAGCGATTGCTCCCGCGTGAAGCACGCCGTGTGAGTCGCGTCAGCTGCTCCAGTCGCTTAGTTACTGGGGTTTGCTGGAGGTCGCCGCTCGGCTTGATGAAAACGGTTAGCGGCAAGCCGGATGCGGCGCCCACGACGACTTTCACAGAGCCATGTTCCTTTGGATCGTGCGAGACAGACAGCGTGGCACCTAGACGGTTTCTGGGAGCATGATCGTTGGCGGCAGATTGCAAGTTGGAAGCGGAGAGCTTGGTGGAGTGGACGAGATTTCCGGTGCGAGTGAGGGTGAGGACGTAGACGGCGCCGGTGCCGTTTGCATCGCCCGGTGCGCCGACGAGGATTCGGGACAAGGAGCGGTCCTTATTTTGGGATAAGTTTGCGACGGACGCGGCGAAGTTGTCGTGCGGTTTGAGTGCGGGGGTGTCGGAATTAGGTGTGGACGGGATGATTTGGCGCGTGAAGAGGGAAGTATGATTGTTTGTGATGAGGTGGAGTTGAAGCGAGCCGGTGTGATTGTTTGCGGAAGGGTTTGAGACTAGGTAGTCTGGATGGCCGTTATTATCGATGTCGCCGATGTCGGTGAGGTATTCGAAGGGGACTTTGTTGGGTGCGCCATGGAGAAATTGGGCGGTTGTTGGGGGTGCATTTGTGTGGTTTTGGGTAGGGTGTGAGGCAGTAGGTCGGGCAGAAAAGAGAAGCAAAAGGACAAGGATGAGATGGTTGGGGAGCATTACGTGGGGTATGGTTCTTCTCAAGGCATAGCTACGTTGTGAGGTGAATGGAGACGGAGTGTATGTTGGGAAAGGGATACAAGAGTGTGAGGAATAGAAGGGGAAATTTAGAAAAGAAGGGAATAGGTGGTTGACAAAGTCGCAATTTTAAGATGAGGTCGGAACTGCTTGGTTGAATTGAAAAGGGGGCAATACGTCGGCAAAGAGAAGGGAAGATGACCAATTCAAGAGTCGCAAAAGATTAGAAACTAGAAACATGGTCGACGTGGCAACACGTGGTGGTGCAAAACAAAGTTTTAATGAGTAGAGTCTCCAAACTCGACGACTTGCGCTAGACGCGCGGCACGAAGCATGGCAATGGGGTACATCTCAACATCAGGTAAGAAGGGCGGTCGGTGCGGTCGTGTGTACGCCGACTGGAATGAGTTTCAGACAGTGCACCGTTGTGCACAGTCTGAAACTCGTTCCAGGCCTTCCAGGCCTTCCAGGCCTTCAGCCTGATGTTCCGAGGCACCCCGTCACCATGTTTCGTACGTCCAGGTTTCGGTTTGCGCCATGATCTGCTCACAATGCGGGTAGTAGTCACGGAAGCATAACGGCAGCGGGGGAAGTGTTGGCCCCCCGAGCGACGTTGGTGGTGGTGATGTTGGTGGTGGTGATGTTGGTGGTGGTGATGTTGGTGGTGGTGATGTTGGTGGTGGTGATGTTGGTGGTGGTGATGTTGGTGGTGATGTTGGTGGTGGTGGTGATGTTGGTGGTGATGTTGGTGGTGTTGGTGGTGTTGGTGGTGTGGTGTGGTGGAGGGCCGGTGGGTAGTGAGGGCGGGGCGGGCGCGGCTCTTATATACAGAAGGTCGTGTGCGGCAGGGCGTGCGCGGGCGGGGGGTAGGGCGGCAGTGTGGCGGGTGTCCCGCGGTGTCGGGCGCGCGGTGTCGGGCGCGGGGCGTTGTGCGGCTTGCGCGGAGTGGAGCACAGCGGAGCGCGACACGCCACCGGAGATGGTGTGTCGCAGATTGTGCGAACAAGCCCACTGTAAATTCTGCTCGGTGCTGTACAGCTGTTCAGTGCCAATGCTACCTTTTTATATCATCTTTATCACAGGGTATCATAGGGGCATATCCTACTGTAGCCCGTCTTCTGATACACGTGGCGGCGGAGGAGCGCTCCTCCTTCTCTGTTCCCGCTCGCTCCTCCAACCGGTACCGTGCCACATTTACCTCCAAGAGACACGCGAAAGCAATTATTTGGGGCACAACTCGACTTCACACTCACCTTCCGAGCTGTATACCGCAGTCTCACGCAGTCTCCCGCAGTCCACCAGAGTCATCGCCCCGCTCTGCCCACGCCCCGCATGTAAAAAAAGCGAGTAAACTTTACACAAGTCGGTCAACGTCGAAAAACATCATTTCCGCAACTTAAAAAACCACATGCATTCCACCGGGGGGAGGGGCCCTTTTCGCCCTAGCCCCCCTTCCATACGCGCGCGCCAGCCACGCAAAGGCCAAGCCGGTCGACAGTCCCCGCCCCCGCCGAGCGTCCGCGCTCGCCTGCTGTGCGCGCGCGTGCGCGCAAGCGAGGCGGCGAGATGGACGCGGCGGGGTGCCGAAAAAGGAGGAAAAAAACAAAAAACAAAAACAAACCCACCCGCCCCGCCCCGTTGCCACTGTCTCTCATCTCGCGCCCGCTGCGGGGCGCCATCATGTCGTGCGCGTGATGCGGTGGCGCCGCTCGTGCGCCTCCACGTACTCGGACACCGCGCGCGCGGCGTCCTTGAACTCCGGCTGCGTCGGCTCCACGTCCAGGTTGGTCGGGCTGCGCAGCGCGTACATCGGGATCTCGTACAGCGCCCCGCGCTCGTCGAACATCGCCTCCAGCGTGTTGCGCCGGTTCGCGGGCCGCAGGCACGCCGCCTTCACCGTCTCGTTGCAGAGCTCCTCCTGCGATTTGGGGGAAAGAGAGAGAAAGAGAGAGAGAGAGCGAAAGCGCGAGAGAGAGAGCGAAAGCGCGAGAGAGAGAGCGAAAGCGCGAGAAAGCGCGAGAGAGAGAGAGAGAAAGAAAGAGATAGTGAGAGAGTGAGAGAGCGCGCGCAAGAGAGAGAGAAAGAGAAAGAGAGAAAGAGAGAGGGTGGGGGGGGTCAGACGGGAATGAGCGGGCGAGCGAGCGAGCGAGCGAGCGAGCGCGGATGAAACGAAAACGAGAGAAAGGAGCGAGGGAAACGAACCGAATCCGCCTCGGCCGCGAAGCGCAAGGCCTGCCACATTTCCTGCTGCCCCTCGACCCTAGTTTCCCAAAACTCAGTGCGGAGGCGTTCGAGCTGGTTGGAAGTGAGCGCGGGGTCGACCCTCCAGGGCTTGATGGCGCGGATGGAGCCGTCCCACGAGCGCTCCTCCGGGAGCGGCTCGGGCGCGGCGGGCTTGGAGCTGAAGCACCCCATGATGCGCTCTGGGCAGATGGAGGGGGCGGGCGAGGATGATGCGAGGGCGCGCTCGTGAGTCTGTTTTTTATCGGGGCTCTTGGCACGCCGCTACGACCCGCCAGCAGCCCGTTTTTTATTGGTTGCGAGATCCATTCTTGCTGCCCCACAGTATCCAAGAAAGGTGGACGTATTGGAATAAGTGAGATGGCGGCCCGGTCAACGGATGCCATTCAGGTTTTCCTTATTAAATTTGATTGAAAAAAAATTGCACCCCGCCCTCTCATTCCCATGCATGGTTTCACCGACACGTGTGTATCTTTCATGTCGCCTGAAATGTCGCCTTCCTTCCACCGGTCCGTCGCGGTGGGAACAACAGCCGTTGGTGGGCAAGCGCATATCCCTTCGGCCGAACTCCCGCCGACACGCCTGGGGAAACCAATGGGGTCGGAGAGCCCAGCAAAGATTCAACCACTCCCCGTCGGCGCTCATCTGGCGCTTCCGTAAGCCCATGCCCAGAGTGATCGCGAGACAGAGACCGGGAGCTACCAACTGCGATATCGCAAGCTATTGCCTCCCATATTAATGTTATTTGCAGTGCGGCATACCTACAACTTCCTCATCGCTTCATGCAGACGGCTTGTCAGTGCAGTGCGGCATAACTACAACTTCCTCATCGCTTCATGCAGACGGCTTGTGAGTGCAGTGCATTCGATGAGCCTAACCCACCGCCTTTGCTTCAATCCTGTCGTTTGTAACTCACAACCGCTTTCGAACGCCTTACAGTAGTCCAACATCCTCCCAGAGTCGGGAGCAGGAGAATAAATTTAGGTCAGGTCCTGAGCGGCCATCTCCTCCGAGACGCTTTGGCCCTGGCCCCGTCTCATTTTTGCCCCTGTTGTTGTGGTAAAAGGGAGTGCCCCCTGGCCAGGAGACCGGTGGTGAGGGATGTGCACAGTAACCATGGTATACATAAACCGGTTTCTGAAGTTAATTCGGTTTCTTAAATTTTACCAACTTTCAGACTGGTTAGTACCTCCTCTCACTAGCTTCGCGGGAACAGACGTAACAAAACGATCCCGCCATCGAAACCAAAACGCTCTTATCGCAATACAAGCCCGCCTTTTTCAGCGCAGGTTGTGCACCGACCAACTCTTATGACAAGTAGACGTCAAATTAGTCTCAAAAGTAAAAGAGTTCCCTGATAAATCCATCCAACAGCTACCATTCCCCTCTTGTCGTTTCTCGATATGCAATGAGGGACCTTTCCACCTTTCAGAGGGCCCTCTTTGCTCACCTTAATGACTCTGTGCTGGGCCACGGTGCCCAAGATATGATAGATTAAATGACAAATTTTTGTAATGATCGGTAAATGGACTTGTTTTCGCGTTTGTGTACACGGAGTGTATGCTGGTGAAGAATTATCAAAGGATAGCGAGCTGGTGTAATTACTGTCAGCATGCCGAGCGTCGCCGTTGCGAATCTCCGCGTTGCACTTAAGAGAGCTCCCGCGGTATCCTTCGCAACCCCCGCCGTCCCCGGCATGTCTATTTCTCTTTGACAGAGAAATTCCCCCTTTCGACTGGGCGGTGACACATTCTGTAGGACACACACAGCGTATCTAGACGAAGATGCCGGACAACAACGACGCCATCTCCCCAGCTGCGCCGGGAGCGGCTGTGCGGGCAGCCTGGGCTACCGCTAAGCCGAACCGCCGAGATTACGGCATGGTCGTCACCGAGCTGAATTCGTCGAAGTTAGTGGGCGAGGGAAGCATTTTCGAGCGGGGGCCTCATGTACCGGTTACACACATGAAGTACTTTAAGCCCCCTGCGGATGCTTTCCTCGCTGATCTGAGGTCTAAGGATCGTCGATCCGCTCAGGAATGGGAATATGTAAACGCTGCTGGAGTCTGGGCTGAGCTCAGACTCGCGGCACTGGAACTTGCGAAGACCCAAGACGGAGATACCGAGGACTTGGGACGCAGGCCCAAACTTGCTCAGCAATCCTTTGCTGCAGCCCTCGAAGTTCTGTCCATGAGGGCACAGTAATTTCGAGACATCACTGAGCAAGGTGTTGAAGCCGCGCGCCAGATGTCCTTTCTTGTTGAACAAGGACACGATGCTGTCTTCTCCGAGTCATACAGGACTGCTAGGGAGGCTCTTACCACTCATCTGGAGACCGAGACTGCTAAACAGCTCGCTAAGACTCGTATGGAGAAGGTGGCGGGAAATAAGGGAACGGGTGGCTCCTCTGGGGCTGCCTCGTCAGAGTGACGGGCCCCCTACAGGGGACGTTGCCCACAAAGGTAGTCGGGGGACAACCTTTGTGGAGAGGTACGTCGCTGAGGGCGGACGCGTGGCGTTCGGAACTCAAAGCGTCAGAGTACCTCGTACGAGCAGTCTGTTACGGAATCCGGGACATGCCCTCGGTACCGTTCACGGACGGACTCGTGCTCGGAGAAATCCCCCAATCAGAGGAGGACAAAGAGTTCGCCGAAGGAGATTTAGAGAAGGGATGCAGAGAGGGGGTGTACGAGGAGATTGGGCCGGAGGAGGTACGCAGGGCCGTGACAGGAGGCAATATGG